TAATAAATGTAAAAATTTTATTTGAAAAATAAAAAAGAACTTGTTTTAGTTTGAATTATCATGACAACTTTATATAAATTTTAAAATCAAATTTTGAACTGAAATTATATTAAAAACTATTGTTACAAAACTACAATTAACTTAGGTGACTGTAATCTATTTCATACAATTTTATTAATTTACCAATTTTTTGATTCATTAAAATTTTTTTCAAATGAGTTTTATTGAAAAATTAATTTACAGCTTTATAAAGATCTTGAAATACAGTAGCATGCGAATTCACCAAAACAAAATTGTTTTCTACATTAAAGATGATAAACTATATGGCACGAGTGGTTCAAGTTCATCAAATCATTTTTCAATCCTTTAATTATAATGCTGGATATAACAGTTGTTTTTCCAATAGTGATTCCGAAAGTTCAAAATTGTAAATTTTTTCTTAAACAAAAATAAAAAAATTTAAATTAAATACAAAGTTTGATAGATCTTATCAAAAGCGATTTAAACATATATCTTTTTGAAATTAAACTTTTTAAGCTTTTGTAATTTTAAATTAAACATAATATTTGAATTAAACATAATATTTGAAATGATTAGACCACTCATACCACAAATTGTAAGAAAAGACAATGAGTCAAATAAATTAGTACGAAATGAACCAAAATGTACTATAATAATTTACAGGCTAATGTTGCGCTTTTTAAGTTCATCCAATGCTTTAGGTTGACCCTTCACAGCAGCCATCTTTAAATACCGTATTCCTTTTTCTTCGTCCTTTTTAATACCAAGTTTTCCATTTAGGAATAAATCACCATAATTAAATAAAGCCGAAGGATTGCCATTAATAACAGCTTTATTCAAGTATGACAGGAATTCTTTGACATTATTAGCTTCCAACATCGCAAATGCATAATGAAGTTGAGCATCTGGAACATTCTCATCAGCAGCTTCCTTAAAAAGTCTTACTGCTTCTACTGGATCTTTCACTCCTTTATGATAACCTTCTTTTAAATAATAACCTTTCCAATACTTAGCAACAGGATCACCAAGTTCAGCATGAATTTCAAAGCATTCCCATGCCTTATGTCTCTGTGACTTATTCCTGTGCGCTCTAAGGCCATCTTCTAATGGAGGAATAAGAGGTGGGATTTCATTACTCACGTACAAACCATCCTCATCATCGCTTGTTTCTTCAGATGTAGGAATATTTTCATCAGTATTGTAATCCTCTATATTATCAATTAATCTATTTAGTTGGTAAAGTTCGGTATTGAAAACATTAATACTTGGTCGTTCAGATGCTTCATGCGCCCAAGCTAGTATGATTAATAATTTATACAGTATGATGTTAGTCGTAAAATAAACAAACAATTTAGAATAGATAGGATTTATGCTTACCTGATCGAATTATTTTTGAATATCCGTTGATAACATCTTTAGGGCCTGCGTATTTTCCGGTAAAATGAAGACGTTCTCTTTTACCAGACTTGACATGCTCACATATATCCATTGTTTCCATATTTTTATATGGTATTTGTTGGAAAGCAAGTTCCCATAAAAGCATACCATAACTATTTTAAATAAATTATTATTAAGTAATTTACATAATGACTTTAAATTAAGTAATAAATTATCACTTACCTAAATACTTCACATTTAAATGTATAAGGATTTTCTTTTTTATTTGTATTATTCGCACTAGGATCAGAACCCATTTTTTCAGGTGCTAACCAAGGAATTATCTCACTAATGCTTACAATTTTAATACTATTTTCATTTCTTTGTCTACTAAGATCAAAATTTGCAAGCTTTGCATTGTAAACGTTATTACCTGTAATCTATACATATTAGCATACAGTTGGATATATCAGAAACCTTATATGTTCATTAAAAACACATTTATTTTATTTTAAGTTTATAGCATACCATTATATTTTCACAGCGTACATCATGGTGATAGATATCACACCCCTGCAAAAAAACAAGACCACAACAAATGTCATGAGCAACCTTAATCTTATCTTTCCATGAAATATCAGCTTTTTCATAGAGTTCCCTTAAATTCCCATGTTTGGCCCATTCAAATACGATAAGATATTCACCGTTCTCATATCTTGAAAATCCATAAAATTTAATTATTTTATCAGATTGTTGCAATCTATTTAAAATTGCAAACCGATTTTTGGTCATTTTCCATTTTTCATCATCATTAGGAATGCTGATTCGTTTGCATGCAACCTCTTTTCCATCATAAAAACGTTTGAATATTTTTCTGTTTTCTGATAATGATGTTCGGTCGTTATCCTCTCTTAATCTATTCATTTCAATTTGCGGTGCAACTAATGAAATTTCTCTTTTGTACATTTTCTTTTTAATTTCAATAACTTCCTCAAAAATTACGTTAAGTGCTATCTTAATTTCATTATTTTGATCTTTTACGGTTTCAAGTACTTCAGTATTTTCTTTAAGCTGATTTTTCGTATCTATGACACCACCCTCGATTGTTTTAAGAAACTATCGTTCAATATTTATTAAATAAGTATTATAAAAATTTAACTGTTAAATTTAACTATTAAATCATTGAAAAAAAAAATTATATTCCGAAAACTTTATACGCACCTCAGTCATATTATTTACATCATCTGATAAACTTCTTTGTTCAAGGGCTCTATCCTCCATCGAAATAATAATACCAAATTGTAATTCATTACATGTTATTTCTAATTCTTCTATTAATGAAAGACATTTTGTTTTTATATCTTTAGCATAAAAAAATTTTGAAAGACCTTTAAGTTGTGAAACATTATTAACAAATTCTTTAATATTTTTTAAAATTCTGTGAAGTTTTATAAATGTTTTTATATAATCTTGACTATGAAATTTTTCTTCTTCTTCTTCTTTTCTACGATTTAATTTTCTTACAGCTGTAGCAACATTATCCACACGATCTACTAGGACTCGACATGTTTTTTTATTATATTCTGCTGCATCATAAATACCATAAATTTCATCAATTATTCTATTTACTGCATCGAACCAAGGAAGAAAAGCTGCGAACGCACTAACAGCACTTAATGCTTGGTTCACTGCTGCTCCTGCCCCACCAATCTCATCTGACATAATATGTTAAAAATTTTAGACTTTTTTTAACCTCCCCAAAAAAATTAAACTAATAAATAAATTTTTTTTTTTTTTTTAAGGTTTGTGGAGGAGACACTGGTGAGCCCGGTGAACAAACGCACAAATTTTGGTTTTGTTCCGATATGCATTGCCTACGTAATCTGTCTGTCACATGCCGCTTCCATATATTCCTAAATATTCCGGTGCTATCTGCGCCATACATTAAAATAAAAATTATTTAGTATGTGATTTGCAAGATATGTTAAATATTTGCATAACGTTTTTTTTTCACCGTTGTACTTTAATTCCAAATTAAGCCCTTGTCCTCAACATACCGATACGTACGTACGTGAATACAACATAAATATTTGTTTATTATCTCTGAAGAGATGTCTTCAAACAGGATAGTTACGATTGGTATTGGGTAAAATTACTTTTTTTATTCTTTTCTGTAAGAGTTTGTCCAATAATACGTATCTTAATTATTTATAATAGTGGTGCGTCATGCTCTGGCAAAACGGTATGTACTGAAAAAATATCTCCAAATTCAAAGAAAAGGTTAAAGTGACTACTTGCGCGATTTTGTTATATTAAAAAAAAAAAAAAAAAAGATACGAAGAGAAGATTAAAGTGATTGCTTGTGTGATTTCGTTATATATATTATTTTTTTAAAAAAAAAAGACCTTGGCTAAATGGCTTTTAAAAGTTTTACCGAATTGTACTTTATTTTTTCAAGATGATTTCTTTAAGGTTTTTTTTTTTTTTCTTAAGCATTTTGAAATTCATTTTTTTATTTATTATATAATTTTGTTCTAATTTATTTGTTTTAATTTATTTGACTTGTAAATAGCTCGAAAACGATCTTCCAATTGATCCAACAACCAAGTATACAAATTGGGATTGTCCTGAAGCAATAAATTTTCCATTATTCCTATCAACTCTAAAGGACCTTCATCAAACCGGCTCATTGCCAACAACTTTTGTATCTAATGAAATAAAGAATGCTCATAGTGACGTTAAAACGTATGGATTATATGAGCTGGTTAGACGATTGTCCTTGCGAGTTAATGAGGTATTAAATGAATTGGCAGAAGACGGTGATAAAAATAATGAATGGTATTTCGTATTGGTAGACGGGTTTTTACTATACTATGACCCTGAGGTTATAAAAGAGTTAGATGTTAAATTGTTTGTTAGGGCAGATCATGATACCTTAAAGCAACGAAGAGAGGATCGGGCTGGATATATTACAGTTGAAGGTATTTTTTATATTTATTTTCTTATTATGATTTTTTTTCAGACTTTCATCTTGCGTTACTAATTTCTTTTAAACAAGGATACGCTATAGACCCTCCCGATTATTTTGATAAAATAGTTTGGCCGAGTTATGTTGAATTTCACAAACATTTGTCTATTAATGGTGTGAAAAGTGGACATACGGTTATTGAAGATCTTGTGGTTTTAGATACAAATAATGAAGAAAATTTTGGTGAAAATCTTGAAGAAGCTGTTGAAACTGTGATAAGATTTATTGAAAGAAGGTTTGCATTGCACAACTGCAGTTGCTGTGAGCTATAATATATCGATATTATAATCACAGAGCTAATGATTTATATAACTTAAAACTTTTAATGTTTCCTTTTTTTTTTGAAAATTATTAATCATTTCAACGTGATGCATTCCATCTTTAATTAGATTATAACAAAAAAAGTATTTTTAAAAAACAGTAGCCAAGTTAAAGATAGGTTAAGATAATGCGATAATTAGAATGCTTCCTAACTCAGAATTTCGTAAGAAACTTTTGTTGTTAGGACGGAACGAGTAGTTGCGTAGACAAAATTCTGGGTAAGCGATTTTAAAAAATTTTTAATCGCTTCTAATTTCACATTTATGCACTCTAATTGGTTGGTCAGGGGTAACACTGGCGAATAATTGCAAATTTCTTTTTATTTGCTGTAATAAAAATAAAAAGTACAATATTAAGGTTCGGTGAAGGAATTCAAATGTTCATGACATTATTTTTATTTATTATTAAGATAATAAAGATAGTAAAGATACGATGTTTCATGCTTATTTTTTTTCTTAAAAGTTACAATTATGGTTAAATGTTGCAGATTTTATCTTGCATTATCAAAATTAACAAATAAGTGACGCATTTCCAAAAAGTAGGAGTTTTTTTAATAACGTTTTTTACTGTTGAATTATAAATCGGAAAATAAATCTCTGATTTTAATTTTGAAACCCCTATTGTATAGTTCTTATAATATGAATGTCAAACCTTTTTTCATATTGTACAGTATAAAATCACAGCTGTTTTCATAAATTGCGGGACAACATTTGGCCGAATTCGATAAGTTTTTACAGCTGTTTTCATAAATTCTGGGACATCTGGCAAAAAATTGACCGACCGAATATTTGCCGATTCGATAAGTTTGATTCGGCAGTGACCATCGCCGAAATCACAAACTTATCGAATCGGCAAATATTCGGTCGGTCAATTTTTTGTCGGATGTCCCAGAATTTATGAAAACAGCTGTAATTATTATTTTGAACTAGAGGATGCGGCTTCGCCGCCCGGTTTGATGCTGTGGTGATGCAAGGGATGGTGCGAATGGTTTAGTTATATTAAATTTTTATAATACGTAGTGTTGAAGATTTTGTCGATTATTATTTATAAAATTGAATTTGATTGGTTAAATTTTTTATGTATTTTAATTATTTTTATATTAGTGATGAAATTTTAAAGTTATAAATTAGTATGTCTTTAATAAAAGTTTAAAAAGACTTTAAACTAAGAATTTTAGTTAGAATAACCAGTGGTGATCATCACCGATGTATAATTAGCCAATAACGAAAAATCAAAAAAAGATTTTATTTCGTTACTTTAGGGTTAGGGTGAGGCCTGATATTTTAGAAAGGTGTTTGATATACAGTCAACCCCCTTTATAGTCACCTCATCTATAGTCACAAATTAGTATACAGTTAAACCTCTCTATAGTCACACCTTTGGGATACAAAAAACTGTGATTATAAAGAGGTGTAACTAAATATAGAGGTATTTTCTATATAATTATAAAAATAAATTTGTAATTATACTAATTTTGTGACTATAGAGGAGGTGACTATAAAGAGGGTTAACTGTAATTACAAATTTATTTTTACCAACTATTTATAATTATATAGAAAATACCTCTATATTAGTCACACCTCTTTATAATCACAGTTTTTTGTATCCCAAAAATATGACTATAAAGAGGTTTAACTGTATGCAAAATTTAGCAAGAAATTTTTTTTGTTAGAACATTGAAAGTAGTTTTATAGGCAAATTCTTGAGATATTGTCATTTTTTTTAAAAAAATCTTTATTGTTGTTATACAAATTGATTTGCATATTACATCTGATATTGCAAATTTATTAACTAATTATATACTATGATAATCACCACTAGTTATAGTTACTAAAATTCTTAAACTAAATATCACTAGTTATAGTTACTAAAATTCTTAAACTAAATATATATATAGTATATATTTTTTTTAATGTTAAGATGATCTCTTTGCCATGCTGCTCTTTATTTAAATATTAGTAGTATTTTTAACCATCAGACATATCTGACAACTATACATATTTGTAGTATAACTCGTTATATCTGTATCTTTTGAGCATCTATTTAAGTAGTCTGCCTATCACTAAGTTTTCTATACTAGATGCTATACCTGTACTCTACTAAAGGGATTACATATTTAAACCCTCTGTATCTATGTACTAACCTTTTATATCTAAGTGATAATACTTAGTACCACTTTATTTTTATATACTGATTTAGGGTTTTAAAGTGGTTTTAATTATTTTAGGGATTTCGTTGACCTTGAGATAAACCTGCTAAAGCCTTCTATACCCACATTTAGACTGATCTAAACTTCAGTAACTTATGTCTAGTCTGAGAACAAGTACTTGTGGCTTTTTATTTCCACTATTATTATCTATTTCTATCTTTATAGAGTTCATTCATACCCCAGCTCCAGTATCTATTCAATCAAAAACTCTTCTACTATTTCATCAAACTTCCAATTTAGATAGCCTAGTTTGGTTTACAAGTTATGTTATCTGCTTTCTTACTGGTTTAACTTAGATATTGGCTTATACTTTTTTCCTCTAGTCGATTCTAGCAGCCTGGTTAGTATAGTACTTGCTAAACACCCAGTCCTCATCCAGATTCACAGCTTTTTGGTTTTCTTTTTAGACTTTCCAGAACTGTTAAAAGTATATACTACTTTTCTACTTAGAACTTGCTAAGTAGATTTCTATTCAGAACTAGTCCAACAGATTTATATAGATCACAGAGACTTATTGTGGATTTATACTACTTTTTATTAGTTTGTATCTCTTCATGTAACTCCTCTATTATATGAATACTCTATAATCTCCTAAGTCTGTATTACTACCCTGATAGAGCTTGCGAGATAAGCTATCTATTAGATGATCATTATCCTTTGCATCTATTTAGTTTAATCATCATTACAAGATCTACATCCTAACTTCTGAATAGTTATTATTATACAAAGAAGTTGATTTTTTATTGTCAGAGAAATTGTAGAGTCGATCAGGGTGGCCTCCCCAAAATGCGGATACACAAGCTGCAGCATATAATATAACAATTGCATATAATATAAAATTACAATTGACAAGTTATCAGTACTTGTTGATTGTAATTTTATATTACATGCAATTGTTATATTATATACTGCGGCTTGTTTATCCGTACTTTGGGGGGGCTGCCCTGGTCGACTCAGAAATTGAACTCTGGATGTGCCACTTAGAGACAACAACTTGCTTATTATATTTTTTAATAAATTTTTTTAAATTATTTAAATATATAGTTTTTTTTGTTTAGAGCAAAGTGGAGGACTTAAATGTTTATACACTTTGATAACTGAAATTACAATTTTAATGCATCTATAATAATAATATTAAAAATGTAGTTTCAGCATTTTCTGTTTATAATATTCCTAAAAATTATGATCTATAATATACATGATCAGATTTTTTAAGGGTTAGTGCCATTAATTGAATGCTATTATAGGCTTCAAACTTATACTAGTTTTTAGTTTCTAGTATAATTAAACTTTTAAATAAAAAGGTTTGCAATTTAAAGTTTATAATAAAATATTTAATATGATTAAGCTGTTTGTATAGTATATAGTTATTTAATATGATAACTAGAATTATAGAATATATAATTTATTATTATATATATAAAAAAATAAATTAATCAAATTTAAATTATACAATACAATAAACTCTTTCTAACGATCCTCTGGTCAACAACAACAGCAAAATGAACTACAGAAAAATGATATAGAAACATCCAAGAAAGATACTTCTTAGTCTTATCTTAAAGTAATACAG